GGAGGAGCTGCGGAAGAACGTGCACGCCCGGCGGTACCGGTACCGGGCCGTCGTCTTCCAGTCGGGAGCGGTGGTGCAGCAGCTGTGCAGCGTCTGCGTCTTCGTCCTCACCTGGTGGTACATGGACGCCGGGATGCTGAGCCCGCAGGGGCTTTTCGGGGCGGCCCTTGTCTCCTCCCTGCTCGGCTACGTCCTCTTCGACGCCGTGGATGGCGGGGCCGGGCGGCGGGAGAGCGGGCGGACGCGGTGGGCCGACCTGAAGAGCACGCTGGTGTTCGCCGCCTTCACCTACGGCTTCTCGCCGGTGCTGAAGACGCTGACCGAGTCCATCAGCACGGACACCATCTACGCCATGTCGTCCCTCATGCTCCTCGGCCACCTCATCTTCTTCGACTATGGCGCCAATGCTGCCATCGTCTCCAGCACGCTCTCCCTCAACATGGCCATCTTTGCCTCGGTGTGCCTGGCCTCCCGCCTGCCCCGCTCCCTCCACGCCTTTGTCATGGTCACCTTTGCCATGCAGATCTTTGCCCTCTGGCCCATGCTGCAGAAGAAGCTGAAAGCCCGGACACCCCAATGCTACGTGGGGGTGACGGTGCTCTGCCATGGGATGAGGCTGAAATCAAGGAAGACCTCTCCAGGTTCCTCATGTAGGCCTGGGCCCGGGGGGGGTCCTCTGCTGTGATCAGCAGCGCAAAGGCCCTTGCCAGGGGACAGCCCTGGGGGGAGGACACCAGCCCAATAAAGCCCCTCGCACAGCGGCGAGGACCACATTTGTGTGCGTTACCCTCAGCATCTGTTTCCAGACCCGACCTGCTTAGTTTTGGTGAAGGAAGGAGCTGAACCCTGCAGAGTGGCCAGCCCGTGCAGCAGCTCAGGGTGCAGGCGAGCAGGGCGGTGCGTGCTCCGGCCACACAGACCCATACCTGCGTTTGGGGGGGATGCAGCGCGGCTGTGCATCCCCCAAGCAGAAGCGCCACGTGGAAATGCACATCTGGCTCAGATGCGCCCCACGGAGGCCCTCAGCCCCAGGGGCTGACAGCACTTCCCTGGGAGGGCTGGAGGGGAAGGGGGCTGGGTGGGGGTTGCTGCGGCCGGGGCGGCAGGTGCTGCAGGACCGAGCACCAGGGTGCGGGACGGGTGCTGCTCACCTGCACCCCGCCGGTTGCTGATGCCAGAGTAGCCTCATGATGCTGCCAGGTACCACATTACCCTAAATCCTTTAGGAGAAGAGGGGTGAGGAGGCAAGATGCCTTCCTGCCCTCTCAGGCCCCCTCCCAGAGGTGGGTCTGTCCTCCCTGAGCCAGCGGGACGGCGCTCAGTGCAGACCCCCA